ATAAACTTTGATCTTCAGGATATTCTATTCGTCGTATAACTTTTACAGTCATTTTAAACAACTATTATTAATATTAAAAAACTATAAGAAAATTATTAATTATTGAACTATAAGAAAATATTTACCAAATTGTCATCAGAAATATGATGACTTATTGTGAGATTAAAATGTATTTGGTAAATTAAATAATATTTAAATAATTAAAAATTATTATAAGTTGAGATTTTAGATGCATTTGTTGCTGAATACAAAAATGAGAAATAAGAAAATATAATAGGAATATGCAATAGATATTTATCGAAATTAGTTTGAACTGCTATAAATCCGATTAACTTTTCCTAATAAAGATTAACTTTTCCTGATAAAGAATAAGGGAAAAAAGAATATACAAAGAGAAATTCGGAGTAAATGTAGAATAAAACGGAGCAGGTTTTGTTGCGGGGAAACGATTGTGAATGTCATAAATTCTATATAAGACCTATGCTAATCCACCGAATAGGGCGAAGACGTAAGCGTAAAATTAGTTTCGATTCATTCCTCGGTGCCCAGGATACATTCCGATAATTCAGAAGGCGAAAGTCCGAAGGCGGTGTCTCCGCGGTGAATGCATAATGTCTGGCATACCCGAGTTTCGCTGCTTACGTATTTTAAACCACAGCTGCCGCATGGATTGAGGAGCAGAGACAGGCAAATGGGACTCTAGAGAGGCCTCCTCCCACTTTCGTAGTGCAAAACTTACGGGAGTTTGTCATCCCGTTGCGAAACACGCTCGCGCACGTGGTTGAAGAAATTGCAAAGTTTCCTGCGGGACTTTTGCGCCACATGTCAATTCCACGCGGCTGCACTCCCCTATGTTTTCCTGTCATATGTATTACGCCAAAATATTAACTGCCATATTTGTTTGCCTACTACATACTTCTACATTTCTATGTGTCTCGAGTTTTTTCTCTAGCACTTTCAATTATTCGGTCATCTGAAAATGGCCATCCTCGTCTAGAATTCAGATTAGACGATCGTCGCAATTTTAATTTAGTACATGCAGCTTACTATTTTCTATAAGTGTGAATGGTAACGCCGTCTGTCATAATGTGATTCTTGAGATTGTGAAGTAAAGAAGATGGATGACAAAAAAAAATATAAAGAAAAGAAAGGAAGAAAGAAAAATTCCAAAGTATTGTTATTATAACACGTGTTTGCTAGTCGATCAAAGTTTTATGTTATATTTAACTTTCTTTCTTTCGCGTACTCATGAAGGATTGCGCATTATTAATAAAGTTAGGCCAAGTTCAAAGGGTCAAGGGCAAAGGAATCCAAATTTAGAAAAGACGATGACTTTAAATTTTTTTCACGAAATGATCTCGTAAAAAAATTCTTTTATTATAAAATAAAGTGCACGCCCATTTATTTTTACACCCAATCTCGCTAGTTGTTTCCTCGAACAGCTCATGATTTATCGCCGGGATATTTTTGCAACGCACGTGACAGCCACGTGCCGCGGATAACAACGTATATACGCGACACCGATCGAATTGCAACGTTTTAACATAATGATCATAAGCTCTCGTTCCGCATCCCTAGAGACGCACCCAAGCATCAACACATTTTTTATATCGATTCGTAAAATTTTTGCGACTTTCATGCAAAAATTTAACGACATCACGTGAGTGATTTTTGACCGACGAATTTATAAATTACACACGTTTGTTAGGATATGAATAGAAGTATCATTCACATTGCGCACTCTGCATTGAAAGAAAATCGACGAATTTTTTTTTAATGATAATAACTGATACAAATATAAATCACTGTGAATTTTGGATAAAACAATTATTTTAATTTGATTAGTGACGTAAATATAGTGAATGAAAACGATTATGGAGATGAGATCCAAAATGCTCTTTAAACTAGGGGATGATTGAGCAATCTCATTTAACACGCAAAAACGTTCTTTTTCTTTTTATCTCTCTTTTTGTCTTCATTGAGTTTTTCTTGACTTCCCATCGAACAATTCGATTTTATGGAAGCGCTAGTCTTCTTAATCCTGCGGGTATATTTTTATTCCGCTAAGGACACGTTGGGATACTGTAAGAGCTCGAGCTATTTTTTTTCCAAAACTTATATTAAGCGTTGAAACAATAAAGTCGACATAAAACCTTGAAGGAAAGAAGTTATCTGTTTTTAAGACGATATTTGAATATTTCAAAAATCTCTTATGAATACAAATGGAAATTTTAATTGCGTAGATCTCGCAAGCCCGTCAATTTTTTAATATTTATCTAACATTATGTTAATAATATTCCAATAATATTCATACAACGTAATTTTAAGTTTTTTGTTCAGGATAATACGTCGGAATAATTCATCGTGATCCATCAACTTTATAGCTCTCTATAGCGTTTCTTAAACAACATCAAAAACCTTAAAGACTGAAACGCGCTCGTAATTTACTCAAAAATTTCGTCACGCCTCTTCTCGCAGGTTTCGGGAATTCGCGAGCAATCTCATCTGCCCGATCATGTTCCATCAGCCTGGTCCTGGTGCAATTTGACGCTCTACCGATCGCGATTTTACAGCTTATACCCGAGGAACGAGGTCTATTACATCGTGAACTTGTCGTCGTTATCATCTCGGTCGCAAATGCGCGATCAAAGTGAGAAAAGATGTCATAAAAGATTGCCGGGCCGACGCTAACTCCAGGCTAACGTATTTCGGTTAAGTGATCGATAAGCTATCCGTGAAATGGCAGGAAGTACACGTGCGTCTATTTGCTCTCGAGTTTACGATCTCGAAGAAGAACTCTCTTGCACGCGCGTCAGGAAACATTTGCGAAGCAAAGCGTAAAACGCGCCAGGATTTGCAGAACGTTATCTTGAAGTCGGGGTCGAGGATTAATCATGATGATCCCCCGTACACATGGAAGTTTGAGTAATCTCCGCATCTCGGTGAATGATCTAGGGATTCCATCAGTCATTCTTGAGTTTATCACGACAGGCAGTCGATTATTTTCAATTTTTACATTATTTACAATTTTTGATATTCATACAAAAAAAATCAAGACGAATGATGAGGGAATTAAATTTTAGAGATTAAACTTTAGAGTAAACTTTAGAGTAAACTTTAGAAGTAAACTTTAGAGAACTGATTAGCAATAGGTAATGTAATTTTATACCGGAAATAATAATATATAAATAGCAGGATTTTTTACGCACCCCAAACTTATATAAAATAATAATCGTTAAAGATATTGCATTGCCGCGCATTTAATTCTCAGTCACGAAATATGAAAGGGTTGTTAAGCCGTTGCTAACCCCAACTGCCGCGGATGAGCCTTTTCTAATCTTCACCAGACTAATCTATGACATGACGGTGAAAGCTCTCCTTTACAATCTCGCTTACAATCCTCGCGGGCTCCATAAGGCGGCATACAACAATTTTACTACAAGGAAAATAGATTGCGGACAGTTGTCTTCGTCTCGACACTTGGAAAAGAAAACATTTCTTTTGCGAGAATACCGATTGTCAATCATGATAACTGACATCGTCACATAATATCTCGAGTCTGTATTTAATAGCAAGAGTATATTCGGTATCGTTCCATAAATATCTTTATACACTTACAAATATTTTGATGAAAAAGGACAAGAAAAGAGAGAGCTAATATAATAAAGAGCTGCAAAAATCAATACGATAAGAAATTGAGGCGAATATTTTGTTTCCGGCATACAAAAAATCAATCTAAATTCTCCTCTGTAACTTGCACTCGTCTCTCAAAAACTTGCGAAATACTTTTCGCGAAAAAGTTCCCGAGAATCGCATCAAGAACGTCTAAAGTGAAACGCGATCCTCAACTTCGACAAACTTTATGAAAACGCTGAACGTAGGAAGATGCATTTTAATATTTCGTATTGACGGCGAATCAATGAATAAATTATATAGAGAGGATGCATTAGAGACGCAGACTATACGTAAAGCGTTTTCTGTTTGAAATTCGGTTCGCGCGACAAGACGCGGAAATTATAATATTCATCTGCGACCGACAGGCGATGGTTCCCTCTTTCGTTGCCGGCAAAAAAATATTTCAGCGCGAAAGGAATTCGCAGGGGAAACAAATGTCTTGAATATAAACCGACTTACCGGAAAGGAGGGAAATTCTGTGGTACGCGTTGCTCGCGAGAAGTGTCACCGAGGGGGTCGAAGAGGGAGGATGCCGGACGCAGCAGCAGAGAACGGCTGCGCTATCCATTTTCGTTCGAAATCTGAATTTCAGCTGCTTTCTGAACCGCAAATTCTCAAGATGCAGGAGAGTCGACTACTGAATCTAAATTTGCGCTGCTAAATCTGCTGCCGCCAGCAACGATTTCCTTCCTGCGACGAAACTGCTCCGTTTGTCCGCGGATTTCTTGGCTCCTCCGCGAGGCACCAACGAAGAATCACGCTCCAAGCTCGATTCATTAGCGTCCCTTTCGCGATAGAGGATGTTCGATTTTACTTCCAATCATCTCGCATTTTCGTAGTTCCCACAATTCGAGAATATAAATTTACGGAGAATACGTGATAAGATAGATAATTCTCTCTCTCTCTCTCTCTCTCTCTCTCTCTCTCTCTTTTCTCTCTTCCTCTTCTTCAAAAAATAAATTTATTTTATATTCACTAATATTATTTCTAAAATTAAATACATATATATTAATATTATTTCTAAAATTAAATACATATATATTAAGTTTAGGAAACATTGAATTTTATAACAATCGTTAAATTCTGGAAGCAGAGATTAATAATAATTTTGCCTTTTTGTTATAATTTATTTTAAAGTTTCTGCGTTTAAATAAAAAACCTAAAAAAATCTATAATATATTATTGTACGATAAAAATAAATTGCGCGATTATTTCTCACTCTAAGCACATAATCGTGATTATAATTTCCTGAACGCAATACAAAGAAATAAATATCGCTATAGTAAATATATTAGATTTGCAGACTACAAACTGTTTGTTTTCAGGATAGCGAGGAATAACACAGCTGCCGCTCGAGGATGGCGGCGTACAAATTATCAGGAAGAACACGTTCAGATTCCTCGGTGAAATAAGCAGATATCGAGAGTAGTAAATCCGCTTATTCGGGCCGACCGACTTGTTCAGAACTCTTCGAACTTCGAGGTGCTCTCGTGGCAAAATGAAACTTTTGTCACACCTGTTGCACGACAAGTTTGACAGATGTTTACGTCATAATGTGAAATTCGCTTCGTGATTCGTCAAATCGCCATTTTAACGATTCCATTCGACGAAACGTTTATAAATTTACGCATATCGTTTCTAATTTTCTCAATACTAATCTTTTTCTTAAGTTCGATACATGCAAAATGTCATCGACTCGTCGCGTCGTTGGAAAATTTCAAAAAAATGTGCTTGTTTATTTAAGCTAATTACGACTTGTGTGTGTGGACTAGATGCGCGAGATGTGCGAACGACGGTTGAATGAAAGAGTTCGAAGATGGACTCGCGTATACGGTGGGACGAGAAAACTTATCGCTAATTGTAAAAGGTTCTGAAGAGAATAAAGGATAGCGACAAGATGATGGACATGTTCAACATGAGTAAGATTCGAAATATCTGTCTACTACCGGAGGACTTGGACATGCTGGAGGATCCTCGAACGCCTACTTTGAGAAGGATCAGTTATGGCATTGTGCTGCCGACCATTTGTTGCTTCGGCATCATCGGAAATATCTTGAATCTTGTTGTCCTCACGAGAAGAAATATGCGCGGCACCGCTTATATCTATATGCGAGGTGAGCATCATCTATCTATCATTATCTCATTATTTTTTAGAAGAATCTTTCTTTCACGTTTCTGTATCAATAATATTGTTATTTATTCGTAGAAGAATAGATTTTTTTATCAAAGAAATAATAATTTTTAATATAACTGGTTCACAAAAGTTTCTTCCTAGTTTTTAATTCTTAATCAGTTTTTATCTGTTATAAAGATATAATTCGATTTTTTCTTGATGGTAAAATAGAAATAATCTCGCGGCAACAAAAAGTAGGTTTGAAAGTAACTTTCTATGTTGATAACGTCTTCTTTTCAAGAAGAGAAAGAGGCGAACAAGGTACATTGAAATAAGAGACAACAGGGGAAGAAGAAGTGATGCCATTAGTAGAGCGCAATGTAATAGCTTCTAATAAAATTATTCCATGTTTACGTAATAGCGGGACAGAAAACTCGATTGTATTACTTTCCACAGGATGCATTATCAGACACTCAACAGTACATGCGTTCAAGTATAGTGTCATCGTTAAACTGCACTGATTATCAATTTTCACACAATTGAAAACTAAATACTGGAAAAAATATATATCAGAAAAAAAATGATTCGGATACACATTATGTGTCGCGGTACAAAATATATGAAAAAAATTTTCATTCTTGCGCGTGTATCCGAGGAATCTGTCTATTGTCAAGCATAAAAGACGAGTACTGGAATATCGAATATTTTCATTTCTGTAAATTGAACGATCACGTGCGCGTCTTTAGAACGCTAAACTTATTTAAGAAAATTTCAAACGAACGCTCTCGACCGATCTTTCCTCGTTTTCATCTCCCTTTGCTTTCGGAGAAAACACTTTACGAGGTCACGCAAAGAGCTCGCTCGTATTTTGTCCTGAAAGCAATCGTCACGAGATATCTTCTAGAATGCCGAAAATTCGACGTTACACGCCGCGCAAATTTTTCGCTCGAAATTAATGCTCCAGTTTCCGAACGGAAAGAGGGGCATTAATCTCAATTAATTCTCCAATTGTTAATTCTACTATTTCATCGGGGCACGGTCATCAATATTCATCGTAGTTTCGCGAAACAACACAATCACTATCGAGTAACGTATATGCCATCCGGAAACGCGCATCGAGCACGTCGAAAAGCGCTTCCGAGTTAAATCGGCTTAAATCTCATCTTATTCCGAAAATAAACAGAGCGAGTCTCGAATTAGTAATTAACACAGGAGGTTCAAATTAAAGTTGGAATTAGTTCACATAGAGATGCGACCTCAGATATCGCCGCAGTGTGATTATAAGCGGCAAACACCGCGGTTCCGGAGACACGCGAAAGTATCGCTAAGTAATTAAGATATTTTGACACGAGGCCAAAGTAATCGACGTCTTGTTAACGCGCGCCGCCGACCGAGATTCCGAAATATTTTGCCCTCGACGACTCGAGCTATTTTTTTGGCGTCGCGCCATTGTTTGTGGCCGAGTGCCGCCCACGATTTCGTCCATTAGCCGCATTTCACCCTTATTAATAGCCTTTTCATTGCCTCGTATATTTATAGGCACTTTGCAAACGAACAGTGCTATTGACATTGAACTTGCTATGGTAGTCAATATCGATAAATTAATTTATCCCATTTGTGAATAGAAATTACTGGAATTTTAAGATAATACACATTTATATGAATTTATGTAAGCTTGAAAAGAGAGAAAAATATTAAAAGATCCAACAAATTGAAAAATAGAATACTTTAATAGCATGTAAACTTTATATTTCAATAAACAAATAAAAAGTTTGTTTAAAAATATATATGTATAATATATATATTGTTTAAAAATATATGAAGAATACATATTCCCTTTAAAGCCGAATTTAATTTTTAGACAGGTAAAGAGACAAAATTATGATCATTAAAGATCAATCATTTTTGAACGTAATCTTCAATTATATCATAGCATTTATTCTATGGACGTACTAATACGTTAATACCGACAGAATAAAACGAATTAGCTTGACGGCTCAACTATTGCAATACACGTTTTGAGCTCATCTTTCGATTGAAATTATTTGCCGCCCAAGTGTTCCTTCAATGGACTAAACAGATGGAAGTCTGAAGGCGCTAAATCGGGACTGTAAGGGGGATGATATTTTTCAACGTAATCTCCATTTACATCACGGCATTTATCCTATCGACGTACCAATGCGTTAATACCGACAGAATATAACGATTTATCCTGACGTCTGAACTATTACATACGTTTCAAGCTATCTTCTGATTGAAATAATTTACCGCACAAGTGTTCTTTCAATGAACTAAATAGATGGAAATCTGAAAGCGTTAAATCGAGACTATGGAAGGACTTCTCAGTCGAATATTTTCAGTTTTTCTATGGTTTTCCAGGTGGTGTGTAGTCATGCATTATTCTATAGAAAAATTACTTCTTTTTTTTACAACAAACCACATCGTTTTTGTTGCAAATTACTTTACAAATAAAACAAAAGACCACAGTAGTGTTCATTCGTTATTGTGATTCCTCTTAATAAAAAGTCAATATGGATAACCTTCTGAAACTATTCGATTTTTATTTTGTCTATTCTATTTTATCAGTATTAGTGTATTGATATATCGATGGGATAAATGTGATATAAATGAATTTTAGATTGAAAAATAAATGTTTTTTATTGGTCATAATTTTTACTTGTCTAAAAATTAAGTTTCGATTTTGATGTAAAAAAATCTTTCGTTTTAATAATAAAATTAAGATGAAAAGCTACAAAAAATATTAAAACGACATATCGAGAAGATAAATATAATAGCATTCTAAATATTTGTATGCACTTGTACGATGAATACGATTCAGCTTCGATAAATTATCTAAAAAAAAAATAAAAAATAAGCATACTTTCAATCTTTTTTATCTATGTTATTAAACTATATATTTTTATCACACAAATATTATTTATTTATTTAAATAACAATTTTACACAATGTTAAAAATTTTATTTTATTTTTCAATTCATTAGATTTATATAACACCAGTTCAAAGAAAAATATTTCTCCAATGTATTTTAATAATAAAAGTGCATATATTAGCTATTATATTTATTTAATAAATTAATTTTTTAATTTCCAAAAAAAATATCCTTTGAAAATAAACATTTTCAAAGCGATTCTTTCTTCTATATATATTTCATAACATCGAGGCAATCATCATTTATAGGATACTTTGCTTCTGAAATCGATAAATTTATTTTTCAATTCGAGGAGTGCTGGAAATAAATTTGCGCATGCAGAATGTGATTGCTCCCGAAGAGAATCATTTCGAGAAACGACAGAGCAAAGGACCTGATGAGATCGGGACGAGCTACGTGTTCGTGGCGAGCTTGTCTCTCTTCGTAGCTTCTGTCTGTTCTCGGGAAAGAGAAGATTCGGTGGTTTTTGCGGCGCCGCCGATGTCCGCGCTCATTTCCGGGGCAACGAGACCAGTGCATTAGTGAGGAAATTACTCGGCAATTCGATTTTGGTATTTTCGTTGGATGGAGTGCCGTTTCGAATGGCACTCCGATGGGCGAACACGTCCCCGGACCGTGTCTTTATCGCTCGGTCGGGTTCCTTAAGGATTATAGGCGCGCCACGACCGTAACACGTTCCCGCGTATATGAGGCTTCCCTCCCGCTTAATTCCGCAGCTGCAGAGCCGCGGAATATAACCTGAAGCGCTGTGCACACGAAATCGCGCCGCAAAAGCTTGCAAAGCCGGCTCTAAAGTGGTTTATGCTACCGAGATACGCTGTCTTGCACTCTGCGAAAGTATTGTGCTCGCTTAATTTCGCCTAATCCAATCGGACTGATTTTTTTCTTTTATAATTCATCGCAAAATTTAAGCCTTAACAGGAGTCTTGAATCTCTCAATGGATTGAAAAAGGATTCGCGTGTCACGTTTCATTAAAAACAATAAGATGAGATCAAAATACAAACAGCTGAATAAAATTTTAAAAGCCTGAAAAATATATGATCTGTGAAATTCTTTGTATAAACTTTGAATCGAGGTCCTCTGGACTGAAAATATTGCGAGATTCACCGTGCAAAATCGAATAACCGGTATGTTGCTGATTCGATATCGATCTCTGATAAAGTTATCTCGATATCAGGAAGCGCTCGCAAATGCAAGAGATCCCGCGGAATTTTCGTTTTACTCGATTTTCTCGTACACGTGCGAGACGTTGGAAACGCAGCCTTAGGAAGGTTTAAAAGGATTAGGAGAGATCGGCGAGACAAAGAAAAAGAGAGAAAGAAAGACAGGATATGATCTCCCTTGCTCCGCATCGGTCGACACTTCTTTGTAAAACTTTCTCTCTTTCTGTTTCTCTCTTTTTGTTTCTCTGTCTATTTCTTTCTGCTTTCGATTACCTATAGCCATATATATATATATATATATATATATATATATATATATATATATGTATTACAGACTTTAATCACCTTCCTTCGAGTTTCCGGCTCCGGGTTTCCGTCCTTGATCCCGCATCTATCAAGAAACTTGGTATCCGGCTAGGTACGCCAACACGTCTCTCCCCCGTGAAAATTCTCATCCTCTTTCACCACCAGCTTTCATCAAGATTAATGATTTAACTAGCAGTTCGTGGGTAACGGCTAATCAAATCTCATTCGAGAATGTGATTGCAAATGATAGCCCATTTTCGTAAATTACGTTGTACAATAATAAATAATTGTATCAATTATAACCACTTAAGCTGTATTAAGAATTCAGTATATTTTGTATAGAAGAGCGATTCAGGAAACTGCAATTTTCATTATGATATTAAATATGTAACGACCTAATAACTATAAACGTCTGTTATGTCTGTGTATTTATAAAACTAATCGAAGAAATTCCGAGTTAATTTCAAACTATTATTATCAAAAGCTAATATGAAAGCCAAAAAATATATGTTATTGCATTTTCTTTACAAATTATTTAAAGATGACCTAACTATAAGATGGAAAATATTTATCGACAAAA